ACCCCCATTTTGGCTGTCTGCTGTTTATCCTCACCCTACTTTGTCTCCTCCTTGTACTTGGATGCACCAGAGCCTCAGTGTCATCCTCCAGAGTTCACGGTCGGAAAGCCGTTTATGTTTTTGGTGCCCATGTCATTAGTACATGACGTTCTAGAGTGTGGAGGGGGGACTGCGTGTCTTCTGGAGTCCACCTTCCTAGGTACAAGTTGGGGCTCCGGCTGCGTGACCTTCAGAAGGTCATCTGCCCGTTTTGCCCTTCCGTTTTCCCATTTGTGAATGAGAAGAGTATTATTTGCCTCATTGGGCTGTTACATAAAAATGCTTAGGAAGCACACCACCAATGCTACCTGTGATTATTAGAATCATTATCTTCCAAATGCATGTCAAGACATTTTATTTAATTTCCCAAAGAGGACACTGGTACTGATCCACTAATGGGGCAGCCCCAACATGTGGTTCGGAGGGCTTTCACCCCCATCCTGTGACACCTAACAGACCCTCCCAGGCACGCCACTCTGAATAAACATTTGAGGGAAATCTGCGTACTTGCCAAGCATGTGCAGGTTCAGGAGAAATGCGATCTCGCTCCTTCAGTTGAGTGCCATCTGAAGACCCTCTTCTGAAAATGTGCCCTTTTGACTGGTTTTAGCCAAGCTGACACTGCAAATTCATAGCAACTCCCTGCCCTGCCATAGTGCAGCATTACAATGCTCAGTAACCCCCTCTGTAAGTCACTGCTCCTAAATAGGATTTATAAAATGTGACTTTGAGCAATATAGCAAAGTCAGTTTTATCTGAGGGAAAATAAATTCTTTTTTTTACTAACATTTTAAAATGTCTTCCTTAGTGCCTCAAAATGCTTTAAAAGCTAATCGATGATAAAATCCCAACTCCATCTAAAGACAAAAGAATTGAGAAAGGAATCAGAGCCACTTTTAATTAGGAAAGTGGTTGCTGTGACCCATTAACCTCTAAAGATGATTGCTCTTTTTTTTTTTTTTTTTTTTGAGATGCTGTAGTTTGGTCATTTGTCTTTGGCACCAGGGCATACAACATTGCTTTTTGCTTTTCACCAATTAATTCATTTAGGCCTTTGCATTTGTCAGACATTCCGGGAACCTTCTGCCAATGTTTTGTTGATGAAAGGATATATGTTTGGAAAGTTGGGGGGGGATTTATAATTCTTAACACCAAAGAATGATTTACAATGCAGACCGCTACCTGAATCATTCAGTATATCATCAAAGGATAAATGAAATTTAGGGAGAGATGGGCACTGGGTCTTAAAATCTGTGTGTTGATTTGGCTCAGTAACACTGGAAAAGTCTACCTCTTTCCGCAGAACTTCTAGAACTCACAAACAAGAATATGATATGGAAAACCACTTTTGACTGTGTATTTTTTTTCAACCGGCTTTTGAAATACATCATTTCTCCACAACAGTCTGGTGCTATTATCTCTATTTATAAATTACATACTGCATTTCCATGCATACAATTTCCCTATGGTCCTCACAACTTCGACGTGCTTTTGACTGTTTTGTTTATTTATTTATTTTATCCTAGTGAATACATCGGGCACTTTGGAGGGCATATTTAGGCACCATGTAATTTACTAAATGGTATTCTGGCTGTGGAAATGCTTGCAAAGACCCTTGGAGGGTGGTGGGGGAGAAGTAAGTAAACACACATTGAACATCCTGTAGAGGATGCTTTCTTATTTGATCAATCAAGGACTCAGTCTGTGCTGGTCCATCAGATCTATGATACATAAAGCTGAAGACTTTTTTTTTTTTTTTTGGCTTCCTGGTAGTTTTAAAAGCTATGCAGTAGGAAAAACTGCTTTAAACAAAGCCTCATTTTCAAAGAAGCCTGAGTACAGAATGGAATTCAAAGAATTTGGAGAGAGGGGAGGTGAAAGTAGTAACAAACAGCTTTTACAAAGCCCTGGGAAATTAAAAAAAAAATAAAGTACATAATGGAAATAAAAGAAATAATCTGTCCCATTGGGAGATACAGAGACCAGGATGCTACTTTAGCAAGGGTGTGTTGAACACCTACTAAGTTCAGGACTTGTAAAGAGATAGAGCTTAAGTGTCATGGGGCGTGCAAGGAGCAAAACAGAATTTTTTCTTTTTCTAAGATTTTATTTATTTGAGAGAGAGAGAGCATGCACACGTGGGGCAGGGGAGGGGGATGAAGCAGAGGGGAAGGACAAGCAGACTCTGGGCTGAGCATGGAGTACTACCTGGGGCTCAATCTCACAACCCTGAGATCATGACCTGAGCAGAAATCAAGAGTCGGATGCTTAACTGACTGAGCCACTCAGGCGCCCTGAAACAGAATTCGTAGATCAAGGAGGAATAGTTTTTCATGCAAGCCCAAGAAACTTCATGCTGCTTTATGCAGATATTAAATTCCAAAAGGCAATGGATGTATTTCATTTTGTTCAAACATTGGGGACAGAAAGTATTCTCCTGCATAATTTGTCGTAAAATTCCACATTATAAATGTTGGTAACAAATGAGGTAATACCTAAGAAATGGTTGAGGAAATGTTTATTTCAAAGGAGGAGGCTCTGGGTTTTGCTCCTGTCATGTCTGTTGTCCTCCCCCTCCCCATTCCTTAAAGAAACTGCCCAGGACAGTCTTGACTAGTTTGTGTTTGCATGTGGTCACTCTGTCTTATGCTCTCCCTCACTTTCCTCCCTAAGAGGAGAGCAAGAGGGAAAAGGTTTCAGATGGTAGAGCTGGTGCATCTGCAAGGTGGACCAGACCCTGACCTTGGAAGCAGTGGGAATTCAGAGACATGGAAGCTTCTATCAACCCCTCAGAGATTTTGGTAGCTGACTTTATTTTGAGATTTAGAATTAAGGAACAGATGAAGCTAATACTGAGGCTTCTAGCACAGGGGTTGATGAATGTCAGCAACACGGAAAGAAATGGGGTCGTTGTGCTGGGTGGCTGGGGTGGAGAATTGGGAGATGAGAAGGCAGAGATTGTGAGTTTCATTTGGCACACTGTGTCTAAGAGGCATTGTCCTACAGCCGTTTGGAAATATTGACTGGGGCAAATCTGATAATTCTGGAAGGTATAAAACAGACTATTATAACAAGAGACAAGGCTGGATACTGCTAAAACTTGGCCTCTTCTTGCTGTGGGCTAAGTGTTGCATTCATTCAGTTATTTATTGTACACAGTATAGCCTAAGTATTTATTAAGCACCTACTTGCTGTTTGGTAAGTACATATCTCCCACTCCTGATAAAACAGCTAACGTGTCTTCAGGTTAAAACATGGCTAAAACTTTCCCCACTGGAATTTTGATAAATGTGTTCATCGTGCCTTTAGGTAACATTGTAGGTTATGATTGAGTATATCTGGGATAGTTATATAGACTAATATCACTGGCAAGACAAGTAAGAACTACAAATATTATCATCATTATCATTAATATTGATATTATTCTTACATTTTTGTTATTGCTAACATTTATTAACTTACTAATTTCCAGGAATCATTTTGTTTACATTAGCTCATTGAGTTTTCATAGACACCCTGTGACATACTATTGAGAGTACTATTTTTATCCTCCTCATATTAATGAGAATGTTGAGTCTCCGAGAGGTTAAGACACCATCCAAAGGTCACACAGCCGGTAAGAGCACAGCAGGACGCAAACCCAGATTAGTCAGTGTAATTTTAGAACTTCTGAAGATTTGCCTATGGGACAAAGAAATAATGTATAATGAGTAATATATCTACTAATTCTGGCATATATAGTTATAAAGACCCTCGAGTTGCTGGGGGTCATTCTATCTTTTTATTTTCTTATAAAATAGTTTGACAGGTTAGAGCAGTAGTTCTCTACTGGGGGAGATCCCCACTCCCCCTTCAGAGGACACTTGACAGTGTGCAGAGACATTTTTGGTTGTCACAGCTGGACGATGGGTGCTACTAGAATCTGATGGGTAAAGGACAAGAATGCCATTACCATCCTGCTGGGCGCCTGGGTGGCTCAGTTGGTTAAGCGACTGCCTTCGGCTCAGGTCATGATCCTGGAGTCCCGGGATCGAGTCCCGCATCGGACTCCCTGCTCGGTGGGGAGTCTGCTTCTCCCTCTGACCCTCCTTCCTCTCCTGCTCTCTATCTCTCATTCTCTCTCTCTCAAATAAATAAATAAAATCTTTAAAAAAAAAAAAAAAAAAGAATGCCATTACCATCCTGCAATGAACAATGGAGGCTGTACAATGGAATGATCATGAAGGGCCCCACAACAAAGAATTATCCCCTCCAAGCTGGAGTGCTACCTAGATTGAGACCCTAGAATAATTGAAAGGGAATCTTGACTGTAGTGAGAGATTTGTGGCTCCGTATTACAAACAAAGGGCATTCACCATGAAGAAGCAGCTTTGGGAGTGGGAGAAAGAGGTAAGATAGATTCATCCATCCGGTCGATCATTCATAGGTTCACTATTTATACAGTGATTTCTGTGCATCAGGAATTATGTTGGAGAGTGATGGTGAAGACAATAATAGGAGGAAGTGTGTCATTCCGTGTTTTGTTTTGCTGGAGAGAAGGAGGGAACAAGGAGTAGAGACAAAGGCAAAGATGTATGGCTGCTGAAGCGAACTAGGAGCAGGGCTTTGGTGCTAAGAGTGAATGAACTATGGTTCTAACAGGGAGGGAGGTACCGTGCTACTTTACAGGCCTATGGAAAATCCCAGCGGACTAGCTCAGAAGCCATACACCACTGTTGGGAGCACCTGCGAACTTCTTTTTGTCCCACTTACGGCCAACGTACACCGATCCAAATGCAGGTCCGGGGTGGGGGGAGCAAGTGATGTTCTCAGAAGTACGCAGGGTGGGGATATAAAGATGTGTGTGCATGTGTGGGTCAGAGAGGCCGGGAAGCTTGCCTTGCTTTCGAGGTGCGTTGCGCTGCTGGCCTGTGAATGCGTGCTGGCTTTGTTTTTGCAGTAACAGCCTTTTCTGTTTCCAGCAGTCCTATGCACCAGCTCCCCACCCCATGGCTCCTCCCAGCCCCAGCACAAACAGCACCAGCAACAGCAGCGGGGAACAGTTGAGTAAAACCAACCTGTACATCCGAGGCCTTCCACCAGGCACCACTGACCAGGACCTAATCAAGCTGTGCCAACCGTAAGTGCCCCTCTGCTCCCCCGTTCCTCACCCCCACGTTGCCCTCTGTGCACTCCAGCCACACAGGACTTGGGTTTGCCCTCAGTATACCCCTTTATTGGTGCCTCGTGAGAAAAACTCTGCGAAATGGGACTCAAGTTTGAGATCTAAGTCCAGCTTAAGTTAGCAAATGGGATTTGTGGACTTTTTGTTTGGGGGGCCTACCTGGGACTACGGGCAGATATGCAGGTATTGACCAGAAGGACGATGAGCAAACATTAGTTGGGTCTTCGAACCCAATGTGGCTGGCAGAATCAGTGATGAATCTCATAAAGATAGCTGCTTTTTTTGGAGAAGTGTTAGCGAAGGGAATCTCAAAAACTTCGAAGTGGTAGGTTTCAGGATGGTGACCTCCCGTGTTGCCAAGTTTTTCTGGCCAGTTCTTGGTAAATAGAAGTTCATCCAGGACCAGGTAATTGGGGAATTATAAAACTAATACTCTGCTTTCCTTGAAAACATCTCCTTCCACCTCCAGTGAAGCTATTTCCCACCAAGGCCAAGAACCATACTCAGCAAGTAGTTTTGGATTTGTGAGGAAATGTGGTAGTGATGAAACGCCCTTCGGAAATGTTTTGTTAATCTCTTATCTACCAACACTTAGGTTATTGACTCTCTTATTTCTGTGCAAATAGAATAAACATATTTAGCTTTGCCCTCCAAATGAAATTAATAATGGATAATGAATTAAGACCCATGGACCTGTATTCTTAGATTGCTGTCTGATTATTTTTAAAGTAATATCAGTACAGCTATTTGTCATTTGAATATGCCTTAGCTGGGTATTTTTAAATTTGGGGAAACAATTACTCAATTTTTCTTCTTCTCTTTTGCAATGCTTTCACAAGAAGGTTGAAAGGATATTTATTTTGTAAATTTTCCAACCTCTAAAATATTGAAAGAGGAAAACAAAGTGAAGAGTATTTATTTGTCTTTGTTCTGGATTTTAAGATTGGGAACAAATATCAAAACACCAGGAAGTGACTGATAAACCAAAACCCAAATACATAACTCTATAATCAATTGACAAAGCAATATATGTGATTATATGTGGATTACAGTGGTTGGGGAGGGGGGCTGTTGCCATTGACTACTTGATTTGTGAAGGAGTTAGGGCAAGACTTGGAAAAATAAATATTTACTTAAAAGCAGTAATTTAAACAAAAGGAATGTGCCAGGGCTAAGACATATAAATATGTTAGGTTTTGGTCGGGAAAGGTTGGGGTTGGACTTGGAAAGTAAATAACTCAACTTTTTCCTGTTGTTGTTAGAAAAACCTAAACTATTTTGAAAAGTAAGGACTTTTAAAAATGTGAAAGATTGTGGACTTTATGTTAAAAGCTTCAGGAGAAGTATCTCTTAATGGATGCTGATAGGAAAAAGGGTAGCTATTGTCTCTGACTCATATTAGAATCTCACTTATAAAAAATATTGATTGGCTTAAGGAAGATATTTTCTCTTTGCTCTATAACACTCAGAGAACTTGTTGAAGCACAGATTTCTGGGCCCAAGAGATAATGATTCACCAGGCCTGGGGTGGAGACCACGAATATTCATTTCTAACAGGCTCTCTGGTATAGTTGCTGCTGGTTTTGGAGAAGGAGCACTTCTCTCTTCAATAATACGGAAACCACTGACTATTTCTAAAGTTTGTGAATTTTACTTCATAAAATTTATGAAGATAGTTTATAAAGGTAGTTGAGGTAGAATCTTGTGCATTAAAACCCACTCAGCCACCGTGTGTGATTTTGAGGCAAATAATTTACTCTCTTTGAGCCTCAGTTTCCTCTTCTAAAAGAGTGAGTTGACTTTGATC